TTATATATAAAAAATATTAACACATATTTTTATAAGATTATGTAATGAAGAATCCTACGTCAGCTGAAAATGTTATATAACATTTACATTTGCTTTGTCTTATATAAAATAAATGAATTAAACTTACCTGATATATTACCATTTATAATTATATTTCGAAATCATTGAAAACTCTAAAGCATAAGCCATAAATGTAAAATTGTAATGAAAATAATCTGTATAATTAATGTTACATATTTAATTTTTATGTTTAAGTTTTTTTCATATTGCTAAAAGTTATATGATCCATATAAACGGACAAAAAAAATGATATAACGAATCAATAAAGATCTAATCATTATATATGTATATATAACATATGCATATATATTCATTTCTCGTTCCGCATTTATATAATATATATACCTTGTTATATATTAAAGGAAGGATTGAAGATTAAGATGCTATAGTACATATATAGACAATTAAATGACTGAAGAATGCCCCCTTGTTTAATACAAATTTCATAATTAATGAATAAATCTTATTTTCTTATTAAAGTTATCATTTAAAAAAAAATAATTTTATTGGAAAAATTCATTTATATTAATATTTAAATATCTATTATTTATGAGAAATAAATTATTACATTAAAGCGTGGTTCATTAATGTGATAAAATATGAGTAATTATATCAATATATCTGTGTATTCGATATAATTAAGGTTATCTAATATGTGTATTATATGTATTAAATATAAATTAGGTTTATTTAGATTATTATGCCTTACTACTTAATTTGAGTTAACCAACATTGTTTAAAATTAGTCTGAAAGAATATATTTTAGTTATTACGTTGAATGCATAATGATATATCTGGGTTCACCTTATACGTTGCTTTTAAGAAATTTATTTTTTGATATGATTCATTTATGATGTTCTTTATAATATACAGCATTATTAGGATTTATTTCATGCTCAACAATTATATTCAAATATATATTTATTATTGTCCACAACTAATAATTTTTATAATTTATTATATATTTTATTCATTGCCGAAAAATTCATATGTTTATATAATACTTTTTTTAAGACTAATCCACTGAATTATATAATATATTGTGTTTATTTTGAATTATATTTTTATGAGACTGTTCAAATAAATTCATTAATTCGTAATGTTTTTTATTTTTTGTGTTCCACATATTTTTTAACTTTCTTTTCCTTGGTCGTAAGTATGAACCATAAGCAGTATACTGACAGTTAAGGAAAAATATGATATTTCTATGATGAATACATTAATTATATATTTATTATAAAATATATTATAAATATTTACTGAATAAACATTTAATTAATTAAATTTATTTTTAACTTTATGCACGATGAATATTATTATTATTATTATTGCAAAAAATAAAATACCCGTGCTTGTCCACGTCATTGGAGATGCAGTATCTCCTCATAATGCTTCTGGTGTGATGGCGTTTATGCCGAGATTTCCCAAGAAACAATTCTCTGATGCATTATCACCTGTGCAAATAGGTTCTTTTTGCACATAACTATTAAATTCTCGTTTAAATCTATCCAGTTCTTCATCAATTGTATTGTTAAACTTGGTTTTATCTATTTCTGAAAATTTCTCATATGTTTGTACACATAATTTAACGTATTGTTCTCTATTTTGCCTCACATGTTTTAAAGATTTAAAATGATCATATAATTCATCAAACATTTTGAATATTTCATATACATCATCATTCATTATTGATACATATTCTTTACATACATCAGGTATGCGTACACCTGTTTTACTGTATGCATCTATGAGTTTTTTGTGAAGATCATCAAACGAATTAACTTTAGGACTTTTATTCCTTGCTTCACGTTTCAGCTCGTAGATATAAAAATTACAATATGGTTTTCTAGTGTCTTCTTTCATATTTTTTAATTCATGTAAATAAAAATATAGTTTTTCGCAAGGTACATAAAAAACATTATACACATATTTATCAGGAGTAAATTCTGCACTAATATCATTGCAAGGCCCCTTTAGTGCTATTTGTACACGACCTCCATTCATATTGTATGTAATAGAATTATAATATGTCTTACATCTGGGAAAAATATCCTTAAAAGATAACTAAAATTGGAATTTGTAGTGTATATAAATGTTTTACACTTACAAGAAATATATTTTTCTTTGATTTTCATAAATAAGACAATTTTAGTGTATAGTAATATGAATTATATTTTTAATAATATGTAGAAACATACTTGAGCTTTAGATACTTGAGTATTACCCATTATATATTCTAATTAATACGAAAAAAAAAAAAATATTTATTAATATATTTTATAATGTCTAAATGTAATGCAGTAAATATTATTTATATTACATTTATTAATATTATTAATTTATAAATATAATAAATGTTTTAAATTTTCATTTTTATATTTCAAAATATTAAAGTATAAATTGTACATATTACATAAAAGTTTAAGTGTTTATATATAAGATTGAATAATAGAATTTTAGAGTTCCTGTTTTACATTTTATGATTTTTGTTATTTATCCTAGTAATATGGGTCAAGATTTATATATCTATGTATTGTGTTATGAAATGTTTATTTAAGATTATAATATCCTACATACTGCACTCTTATATTTATTATTTTGGGATTAAGATAAAGAGTAAATGCATTATATATTTTTTCATATTATTATATATAATATTAATAAACATTTCATAATACATATTATTTGTTTTTTATATATAATTTGTGTAAATGCTTTTTCCATAAAGATTATTGATTATAATATAATTATATTTTTAATTTTTGCATAATATGACTCTAGGAATGATATTTATACACTTAGAATTAATTATTATTATATTTTATTAAATGATTTGTCCCAGATTTTTACCCACATTTCAGATTCATAATACCACTACATTTTGATTTTTTAATTGAACTCATTTCAATGTTTACTATTTTATTGGAAGAATATATTTTCATAAATCTCTAAATGATATACGTTTGCACTATTATTTCTCAAATAATTACCGGGGATATATAATATGAGCTATTTACATTTCCATAATAACGCATATGTATTTATGCAAAAATGTATGAATGTATGTATATTTATTTGTTTATATAATTCTATAATATCGTTTAATATGAATTATTAAATATATTCAAATAATTTTTCTAAACGAATAATATCACTACTTATGGTTATATATACACCATTATTATTTATATATGTATTAATGCACTTAATTCACAAAGATATCATTGATATACTTTGTAAAGACGTACAAATTTATGGATGAAATATTACTTGAATATCATTATATATTTCATTTATTATTTATAGTGATGTAAAAAATATATATAATAATTTAATATTACAAAAATATTGATAATATACGTTAGGTATGTAATTATTTTGATTTATAATATGATTAGTTTTAAAGCATAAATTAACAGTGAAACAGAATTTATGCGTACAAGGATATTAACTTTATATATAATATTTAAGCCTCAAGAGAATTGAAAATATTTTTTATTTTTTAAAATTTAAAATAGTGTTATATTACATATATTTGATAAAATAATTGTTTTGTTATATATATTTATTTCTGTATATACATACACATTGAGAATATTTAGAATATATTAATTATGCGTTGTTAACAGAGAAAATTTTAATTCATTAATATATCTTCAAAATATTATCATAAATATTATTCTATTAAAATTGATATGTTTTTTGAAGGATTAATTTTAACGTATATTTCTTTATAAAGGAAAAATATATATATTAATTGAATACATATATTTTTTTTTATCTTTTTTATAAATAAAAGCCTTGTCCCTAATATTTTATTTTTTATATAATAAAATTTAAAAATTTATAAATATAATATATTTAATTTTTAGTAACAATGAGACTTTAAAGTTTATAATGAGATGCTATGATTTTTTTGAATATATATATATTCTTAGACATGTATTTTTTGAAAACACATTATATATAAAAGGGATTATATATAAATGCATTAATATATAGTTTGTTCTAATGTGGATATAATAAAATATACATTAAAACTTTGCTTACATGATTATGAGAAACTACAACATAATACATAAAATTAATTTTTTTATTATAGGTACATAATTTTGTATTGTAAAAAAGTAATAAGAAATTTTTTTAAAGGTTTAGCTTGTTACATGAAAAAATTTATTTAACATAATAAGAGTATTATATGATAATGCACAATACATAATATTTATAATAAGTTAAAATGAGTTATAATTAATACGCCTTTATATTTTATTTTTTATTTCTTAAATACATTCATTAGAATAATAATACCTATATTTCTTTGGAATTATGAACATATATTATTCATGCACCACTAAGTAAAGAGTTCATATTTGATAAAATTTAACCCACATTCAGATAATATATGATTAAGAATCTTTAAATAATTATATTCTATATAAATTACGGGTATATTTATACATTATGGAACGATATACATTTTTATATTAATAAATGTTTTCAAATATTATACTATTAAAAAAAAAGACAAAACAAATAAAATTTGTGTTTATAATTGTATAGAGATATTTTTAATCAGCTTTAATGTGGATAATATAATTATTTAGTCCCCGAATATAAAAGCCCACATTTCCTTGATTTATCGAATAGGTAAGTCAAAAATCTGAAGGTGAATCATTAAATATATGTTTTTACACAGGATTGCCTCTATTTTTTAGGTTATTATATTTTTGTATTTTAAAATATTTTCATAAAGATAATTTATTCCTTACAATAACATTTATAATATATATTTTTTTGTTAATAAAACAATTTTAGCGGTTTATAATATTTTTCACATTTTTATGTGCGCAATGTTAATAGCTGTTTAATGTATCCTTATATATGTGCTTACAAATACTTATATAAAAACAATTTATATATTTGTCATTAATAGTGCATAAATATGTACTGATATAATTTAGTGTTCATGGATTAATTATTATGCTTTGCGTTTTGGAAAAGGGTATGTTTTTATTTTTAAAATCATATTCTGTATATATATACATACTTATTCACTGTAATTTTTCGCAATTGCTTTTTTTAAAATTATGTTAATATTAGATTCTCACTTATGTGAACAGAGAGTAACTATGATATTATGACATAATTATCCA